CTGAACCCGCACCCCTCGGGCAACGGGTGCATCAGTAGGGAGTTCGTATGACCTCCCGGGTGGGCGATCAGTCCCACCTTAAAAATAATACTAAACCACGGGAGTGGAGTATACAAGTGGCTCCACGTTTCGATCTTTATTGAGATCATCTTCAGGGTTCTGAAGGCCACTCTCAATAAAGATCGAAGCGTTGGCATGATAGAGAAAATGTTTTTCTAAAACCTACGTCACAACAAACCGCACCTCACGATCTCCAAATAATTAGCTAACGGTCACTAAACACCACACATGAAGACATAAAATAACTCTGTTGTTGGAAAATGAACGAATTTGTAAAATATAATATTAAATTATCGATTGCAATCCAGCCATCTTCGCCGTAAATATCACATTACTTTAACATAAAATTATGCAAGAGTAACGTACAAGTTCATAAAATTGGCAAACAAGTTATTTATGTGAGCAGTAGGTAACTGACTTAATCGGTAGAATTATGCCATTGCCCATTTTAAATTTTCAGCAGTTTTCATAAGAGAAAAACAAATGTTCTTAATGGGAACACATTTACGTTTTCCGTGATTTTATTGATTGTTTTATACCAGGTGAACAATTAAAAACCGATTTATCACGTAATGCGGCAATTATCCTTGGACTATTGACAATTTTGACGTGCGGCCGAAAAGGAAAGTTGAAATTCTACCACCGTAAAAGGAGCTGGTGACTGGAGAAGGGAGTTGCCGTTGAGAAACATTCCGGATCGACAGAACACGAAGAACGAGCGAACTCAGAAAATATTACAGAAGCGAGCCCAGGAACTGGAGAAATTTTAAAAATGACGATCGAACGATATGGAATAGGATTAGTAGAAAAATCGGTTATCTACGGTCAAAAAACTTATAAAGAAACAGATGCCGCATTTTTTACGATCGTCATAGAATTGCTTGTGGATTCTGTAATTTAGTTATGTGCGATTATCATTGTCATTCCATTTATAATGTTGAACTGAAATTTTATGAAAGGAGGTACGAAAATTTGACATATGGATAGCAATATGATGAGCTCCTGGCACAGCCTTTAAACTCGAAGTACAACTTCTATTCTCGATTGTCGATGTGCAGTCTGCCTTATCAATCTTAATATTTGTTTTTAGCTGTACATCGCTTCTCAACATGCTACTTTTCTCGTAGAGTTCTTTTCTCGATCGGTACAAAATCATAATATATTTCGTTGATTGTCCAATCTTCCATGAACGCGTTGTAGTTCTTTGTCTGCTTTCTCAAAATGTCCAAGAACAATGTTACACATATATTTTCACAGAGAGAATTTTCCAATGTGAACTATATGAAAGTTTCGAATTAGCCGGTTATGATTGATTAAGGCTGATAATGGATCTGTAGAGAGAACGAGTTGACTTCTAGTTTGACGTATTGTATTTCAACATTTACTGATAGTTCAGCAATATACCTATATTGTAGTTTTAAGGCAGAGCTTGGTACATCTAGTAAAGACAAAACTTGCTTTTGTGAAACTATTTTTTACTTTTCAATGAAATGTTCTGGGCTAAGTAGGTTTAGTTATATAGAAGAAACACCCAAACCATTGAAACTTCATAACATTCAAGACAAGCAAATGCAAAATTTTGACTCTTTCAGCAGTTGTTCCTTTTCAATTACATAGCGGAATGTTTTTCGAAACAATCATCTACGTGAGTGTCAATTTACTTAAAAAAAAGGCATTTTTATGATGATTTTATGGTTTTTTTTACTTGAAAAGGACAGTCGACAAATTGCGTAACGCCTGCCAAATGGTTATGGCGCGTCAGGTGAAAGTACAGCCCGTAAGTGGTTTCCTAGGTTCGGCAATTTCGGATTTATAAGCCGGAAAGTGTTGCCGTTTCACCGTCGCCGATTGTCAAATGAAAGCATATAGTTAAAGACAATTCTCATTTGACAAAACTACAGCTACTTCGAAACGTTTTGGTACATTTCTCGTATCGGCATATGGCTCCCGTTGTAATCCGCTGTCATCGTGATAAATACAAATAAACGGGCTTGATTTTGAATGATGGAACCTAAACAATTTTTAATAACGGATTTACTTAAGAAAAGTAAACATGAAGTTTACAAGTTTAGTAAACAGAAACCTTTTCTCGTCTTGTCACCATTTGAATCCAGTTGTACTCTTTAACCATGGAAAGACATCTTGAACCAGAAAAGTTCGCAATAGTACCTTGAGAATGAGTCATCGAGGTTATCTCAGCGCATTACGACGCTAAGGGAGGACATAAATATTATTATTGGTGCAAGACGGAAAACTTTCCATAGTGCCCGCCAGATCCTAAATGAAGTACAAGACTCACATCGTATGCCCCTTTGAGACGACCTGCAGCCCGCCACAAGCAACTCAGGAGAATATGGTGCAGCGAGCGCCTACAAGAGAACACCAATGCTGTTATGTCCACCGAGAACAGGGGGACGCATATAATGCCCCAGTTCGTGCTTCCTTCAGTGCAGTTTGGAGGAGGCGTGTAAAGGTCTGGACAGAACACTTTCCATAGAGCCCGCCAGATCCTAAATGAAGTACAAGACTCACATCATATGCCTCTTTGAGTGCAGCCCGCCACAAGCAACTCAGGAGAATATGGTGCAGCGAGCGCCTACAAGAGAACACCAATGCTGTTATGTCCACCGAGAACAGGGGGACGCATATAATGCCCCAGTTCGTGCTTCCTTCAGTGCAGTTTGGAGGAGGCGTGTAAAGGTCTGGACAGAACACTTTCCATAGAGCCCGCCAGATCCTAAATGAAGTACAAGACTCACATCATATGCCTCTTTGAGACGACCTGCAGCCCGCCACAAGCAATTCAGGGGAATATGGTGCAGCGAGCGCCTACAAGAGAACACCAATGCTATTATGTCCACCGAGAATAGGGGATGAGTACAATGCCCCAGTTCGTGCTTCCTTAAGTGCAGTTTGGAGGAGGCGCTGTAATGGTGTGAGCTGGGATTTACTGCAGGACGAACTGGACTCGATATTGTTGAAGGCAATCTCACCGTGATCCGTCATGTCCAAGAAATTATGGAGGAATACATCCCTCAAAGCAGGGATCTCACAGGCAGGGATTTTCGATTTCTTGACAATGCCAGACCTGACTGAGTTCACCAATGTTTACAAAACGTGGGAATTCACCATCTGCCCCTTCCCCCATTGTCTCCAGAACTCCGTTGAGCATATGGGATTCGTTGCACAGAAGGCTGTTCGATCACCATCCACAGCCATTTGACCCGCAACCACTGAGTGCAGCGTTGCAACATCTATGGAGTAAAAATTCCTTATGAAATTAGTGACAAACTTAGGCATAACTATATCTATGCACCTAAGAGGTGCACGGAGGTTTTAGCTGTATTAATAGTTTTTAAAAAAAATATTGCGTCCAATAAATAAAATTGTGGAATTAAAACCTTTTATGTTATTTTTCAAAATCTTTAAATTAAATTTTCCTTCAGTAAAAGCCATATGCTAGCTGCTATTTTTGAGCAGTTTGTTTCAAATTCATAAATTGGGGGGGGGGGGCGTCGGTGGTCGCAACGGTAAGGCGTTGACACGGCGCTCATCAATGTAAAGGTCCAGGGTTCGAATGCAGGCCGATGGATTCGATCCCGACCTACAAATGAGCTTTTTTTTCAAAAACACCGGCACCCCAGGGGTTGATATGACCTCTTCTGTCGCGAACCCTCTTAAAAAATATTTAAAAAATTCATCAATTGCATAGAACATGAACTTGTCAAATATCGGGTAAAAGCGGTGATGACGGGTACGAAGGATGTGATGTCCTGTCGCGCTTGTATATGTTTTTTCCTTCTTCTTTCGAAATTCATGCTCTTTCGATGCCAAATCACGACTCGAACGTTATAAAAACAAAACAAAAAAATCCTGCCAAGGACGTCAGGGCGTAAAACACCCACAAAAGTCAATCATCAACATTTCCGACTATACAAGCAACCTCATAAAGGCGCGTTTGAACAGTAAGTCGTTTATAAATGATAACAGCGTCATCTGTCTAAGTTTTGATGATGTGCCGTATATCTTTGTGATTCGTCTAAATAAAAGGCGGGCCGAAATAAATCTTCGTTGATCGATCGGATTCTCAGATGGTGACGGACCGATAATCTACTGTTCGGTTCGGTATTCGAGGACACCCGTGGCACCTAACAGCCTGAAAGATGTCATATTTTTTAATTTTAAACCTGTAAATTGGGTAAACAGGGGTTTTGTGTTTACCTGAAAAACAGCCCGCGGGAAAGATAAACCATAAACACTATGAATTTGTTAATAAACAGCATATTTGACTTCATGTCGACAAACATTCGCCTGTAATTTATTCCGGGGGGAAATCGAAAATCTCGATCGTCAGGACGCATACTGGAGAGAAAAATAGCCTAATTGAAAAATATTTTACATTTCGATTCGTACGCGTGAAAACATGCCGTCGATTCTGAAAAGGTCGTGATTTCTCTGAATACAGTATCGCCTGCATACATAAAAACACACCTACAGGATGTAAACAAAGCCTATGAGAAGCTGGGTAGTATACGAAATTAACTTGCTTGCAATATTCTGAAATTGTTAACGATTAAATAACGAGATGGGAATGAAAATCTCGAGAAAAGAACAAAAAAATACTTTTGTGTGACCGCCATGGTGAAGATCATATTGAAATAAGCGGAGGGCCAAATAAATATCGACGTCTCGCGCTGTGTCATCGGCATGTTTGTGTTTCGTCTGTGTTCCTCGTCAACGTTCGTCAGAGAGGGAGGCGGCGGAGGAGATCCGGACGAGTCGACGGAGACGAGTGCGCCGATCGTTTATCACCTCGGCCTCTCGGGCGTTGATAAGGTTAAAAGCTCGACTTTTCGACTGGATTGATCCGCGCTTGATTTTAGTATTATTTAAAAAAAAAAAGAAAAGCGTCGGCGAGTAATAAAACGTCGTCAACTCACTGGATGCGTGTTTTTCACTTTTCGGGGTGGACGTCATTTTCCGCAGGGGGTGGCGGCGGCGGTCCGGTCGGGAGCTAAACGGCTAAGCTGCCGTCGGCTGCCTCCATCCGCCTCTAGCGGCCCCTCGGCGGCGAGCGCCTCTCGAACGTCGTTGGATGACCCGGCGACCGCATGAGTCGGACCATTTCGCCGTTGGATTTTCGTTGGAGCGACCGATGGACCGACGACACTGACGAGGACGCCTCTGCGACTGACGATTGTTTACCTTTCGTCCCGTCCGCTGGTCCCTCGTCGACTCGAGCACCGCCGCTCACAGATAGCAGTGCAGGTCGATCTCTCCGATGACGTCACTGAGTTCCAACTTCCGCCCGCGACCACCCTTTTAACCTGTGGTAGTTTCTGATTATCTTGGTCCGCTCGCCCTCACTGTTTTGATCTGCCATTTGTGTTTCGACTTCTTGCTATCTTCAAAGCTTGATAAAAGCGATTTCCTTCATCCAGTCTCTTTAAGGGTAGTCGGCCCATGAAATTTGAAAAAACATGTCATGTTATTTTGCATGCATTTGTGATTTATTTGACACCATCAGTTTGAAAATCACAAGTAACGAGTAAAAATATAAATATATACATATATCCGAAAAACCGCGAAGCCGGGGTTAGGAATAGATTGTTTCGAGATAAAAAACCCAACATTTTACGCTATTGAATTTGTGTTCGTTGTTGTATAATACAAACAATGTAAATCCCAGGCCCTGAAGACGATCTAAATAAAGATCGAAACGTTGGCAAAATAAAAAAATGCTTTTCTAAACCTTCATCACACAAGACCGCATCTCTCGATCTCCAAATTATTGATTAGCTATTGTATTTTTTTTCATCAGATAGCAAATCGATCGTCGCTGACCACCTTTAGGCAACTGGAAAGGTGAAAAAGCTCCAAAGGTTCCTGATGCATTAAAAGATCGACAAAAAAATCATCGTTATGAAGTTTATGAAACACTTCTTGCCGTAACGAACCTTTTCTGGATAGAATTATTACTTGTGATGAAAGGTGGGTTCTTTACGATAATACGGACGTTCTGGACAGTGGCTCGACACAGGAGAAGCAGAACCAAATTTTCCGTAGCTTCTATCTCATCAAATTGATGGTACCTCCTTGGAGGGCTTCATTTGGGCTGAATCACTACAGCCTTTTGAATCCTGGCGAAACAATCAATGCTAAAATGTACTTCTCTCATATTGAAGGAATGCATCAAAAATTGGCGTTATTGAAGCCATCTTTGGTCAATCGGAAAATGTCTGTTACGAGACAACGCTCGGCCCCATGTCTCACATGTGACAACATGAAAACTGTTGGATCTTGGTTGTGAGGTTCTGACTCACCCTCACTATTATCCAGATCTCTCGCCTACCGACTACCATTTACGTACGTTTGCATTCAACTGTAGTTTGTCGGCGTCTGCAGTGAGTTGTGATGTAAAACTTGTTTCTGCTGCTTGCCACGTTACGAACTGGCATGCTGATATATTCATACGAATCGACCTGACTGCGAAGAGTGGCATTATTCTATTACTTGCGGTGGACTGAATGAAACCAAACATATACATTGGATTGTTTAGTTATTTTGAAGTATGTGTTGCTACATGAAAAATGGCACAACTGTAGGTGGTCGTAGCTGCTAGGCACCACTTTTGAAACGGCGAGAACTTTCTGCCACCATTCGCGAAAAGAGGCATAACTTAGTTCTATGACGAGCTTTAAAGCATTGGTGTGAGTATTTATAAAAAAAAGTGTCTTATACTTCTTTTTTTTTCTCCTTGTTTAGTGAAGGATTTGATGCTGTTCCGGAGTCACATTTTTAGTTATAATTGTATTATAATTTACAACTTACCGTTGTTACAATAACCGACACATCTTTTTAATATATTGGGTTGTCCGGAAAATAATGCAGGATTTTGGTATTAAACAAAAAAAAAAGAAACTAGTTACTTTAAAGCAATGTTCTTTAATCAAAANCATACAAATGAGTAATCCTGTAAACGTAAACAGAATATTTTATATAGATTTTTTTTAATGAAAACTTAAAATCCTGCATTATTTTCCGGACAACCCAATAATATTTCTGCGCGTCAAGGGATCGCGCAAATTGGAGCATTCATAATATATTCATGATTTAGGATTTATTTTCATATTATATATATGACGAAAAACAATTGTTAAATCAATTGTAGAAATATGTTTTTATTAATGGGAAATTAATATAGGCCCTGATGATGACCTTAAAATAGGTCGAAATCTTGACAGTAACAACTGAATTTACTTTTTCTTCAGACTGTACATTGCTCTGTGTTCGTAAATTATTTTAATTTCATTTCTTTTATTTTAATAACATTTTAAAATATATTGTTTTTTCATAAATTTAAAACAATGTTTGCTTTTAATTGTTACATGATGTTATAATTTTAACGATTTTTTTAATGTTTTAATTACATTATTTTTAATTATTCAGATATCGTGAGATGCGGTCACGATATCTGAATAACTATCGATTAACGGTCACTAATCTCTACACATTATTTTTAATACTGATTAAAACCACTATTTCAATACTTAATTTTGTATTCTAAATAACTAATTAACCCTGACTCTAGGAGGTAAGCACATTTGTGTCAAAATAATCGTAGTAAAACTTACTAAATGGATATTTATGCTCGTTTGTTAGGTTTGTATGTTGCCCGTTACTATCACACAAAAAAATTAATGACCTAACAGTCATTAATTGACCACTATTGTCGTTAGAGCAAACTTAAATTACTGAGAGCCAATATCTGGAAGAAAGGTGTCAACTCAAAATGAGGTAGTTTTTTGGGGTAGTACAGCTAGATTTGTAAACTTTTGTGTTTCGCTTACGTGTCGGAGAAAACGAAAGACAATATTGATGGATCATGACTGTTTTTATTGGCAACAGCCGTAATGGGGTGTACTTAATACATAAGTAAAAAAAAAAGGAATCTTCCATCTGTAAAATTTTCTTTTTTTGTGTTCACTTTTCTTGTGGGTGTGCGATATGTACGTGCCATCTCACTACGCGCTTTCTTGAAAACCGGTGATTTTTTTGAGAGAGAAGGATGTTTTGCTTTCGTCGTATTGTGAAGACGTGCCACGATGACATTTGAAAAAACAGGAAACGCGTAAATCGTCGTTCGGACGTGTTTGGATCGTTGATCAAACGTGTCTTCAGTGTTGGAGAATTTTCTGAAGTTTTCGACACAAATTGCAGTCTAAAAGTAAAAGTCGATGGATCGATACGACCGATATATCGTCGGGGAGGACGTCGGACTCGAGTTTCGATAGTTCTAATTCCTGAACTGAACAGCAACTCACTTAAAAGAATCGATTGGATGGTCGATTCTTTTAGATGAGTCGATTCTTTGAATCGATTCTCGATTTTTTTGCCCATCTCTAGTTCTAAATTCTAATCAAAAACGGTCTCATGGGAGACGTCAGCTGAGCGTTTTATGTCCTCCCGAGCTCGACGTCGAGCTACACCATGTTTCCGGCTTAATAGTTTCTAAATTGTAGTTTAGCGTAGGAAGTAAGAGCGAGATGGGCAACAGCGGGTTAAAAAAGCATTACCTGACGGCGGAGAAAACGGGTGTCCTCAATGTCTCGGGAGGCAAGCTGGAGACGATCCCGATGGACTTGCTGAACCTGAAGGCGGTGTTGAGGAACTTGGATCTGTCCAAGAACAGGTTTTCCAGGCTGCCGGCGGAGATCGGTTTGTTTATCAACTTGAAGACGTTGTCCCTGGATTCCAACAACCTGTCGAGCCTGCCGGAGGAGATAGGCAACCTGACGAAACTGGAAGTCTTGTCGGCGAGGAACAACAGACTGAAGACCTTGCCTTCGACGATCCGCGCTCTGGTAAACTTGAAGAACGTCCACCTCGAGTCGAACAAGCTGACCGAGTTCCCGGTCGCGTTCTGCGGGCTGAAGCACCTCGACTACCTCGATCTATCCAAGAACGCGATCAAAGCCCTGCCCGAGGAGATCGGAACGTTAACAGTCACGGAACTTGTCCTCAACCAGAACCAGATCTCGACCATCAGCCCGGAGATCGCCCATTGCCCGAGGCTCAAGACCCTCCGCCTCCAGGAAAACTGCCTCCAGGTCTCCGCCATACCCACCAACATGCTCCATTCGTCCACAGTGTCCACCCTCTTTCTCGAGGGCAACCTGTTCGACATGAAGCAGTTCAACAATTTGGAAGGCTACGACTCTTACATGGAAAGGTTCACCGCCACAAAAATGAAGCTTTCGTGATTAAATTAAAAACACCTACACAAGTATATTTTTTATGCTTACTGTTTATACAAGCAAATCTGTGTGTGTGTTTATATTCTACACTTTACAAACACAAATTAGACATTCATTCTTCAGCATCAGTGGTAAATGTCGACAGGTTCGAAAAATACCAACTGTTTGGTTCAATCATTGAGTAAATTCTAAAAAATTATGCTTATGAGGCACCTACAACACCAAAGCACAGGATACAATAATTATATGAAATTCTTTAAAACATTTATTGGTTTTTGCCTATCCTTGCACTTGGTGTACTTCATAAGATCAAAACTTAATTTCATGAGCGGGATTTTTCATCTCGACCAAGACCTTAGATAAAAAAAATTTAATTGAAATAATAAGGTCAATTATGATTGCTAAACATATATGGATTCGTAATGTATTTTTTAGCATCTGATAGATAACAGAACATCCATCTGATAAATGGGTTAGGGTAAGCATATCAGAACGTAAATTGATGCCCTCTCGACAGTTCGACTAACTTGCGGACCACAAAATGTAGTCACAAGTTTAATTTGCGCTGAATGTTTTGCCTTGATTTTCTTAAATTTCATTGAACCTTCAGCACAAGTCAAAGCTGAAAGTAATAAAAAAAATTAACTTTTCAGCTCGTTTAGCACTTTTTTCCTCAATTCTGCACTTTTCAAGGTGTGGTTTGTACTTTGAAGGCCCTGAGCTCATGGGCGTCAAACTGTTCTGATAGTTCTTTCAATTAATTATTCTTTGTATGTAAGGTATTGGTTCAAATGAAAAAAGTTAGTGTTACGAGCGGAATTCGAACCCACGACCTTCGGCTCAATTCGCCGCTGCTCTAACCACTTGAGCTATCATGACTTCGATCTATTAGGACACCAACTCTCCACCTCAACCTACAACTTTTTGAATTTGACTTTTTTTTTTAAATTTCAATCAAGACCTTACATTGCAAAGAATAATTAATTGGAAGAAGTAATTTGGTCAATCAGACCAAAATATAATGGATTTTCTGATAGTATTTTTTTGTTTTTGTATTTATAATTACTCTAATATAACACTTTTTACAAGAAAGTGACCATGAGTGAAATTGACAATTATACTTTTCTAGTTCATTATTTACCAAACTAAGTTTGAAAGAGTGAATAAGATTTTTTGTCGAGTCGAGGTCTGTTGGGCGAGTTCAGTCTTTTTTGATCATCCTGGTCACTGAATCAGTGAAGGTCGGATTTCAGGATCGCAAAACCAAAGTATACATCTCAAGGTTTTTTTTTTTTTTTTTCACTTTTTGTAAAATCAATTCGCAGAATTATTTCAACTCTAAATTCTGTGAGTAGGATCATCATTTACAAAAAGTGAATTGACATACACACCCCGCCTCAATTATTTCTATTAATTTCAGGAAAGTATGACCATTCTGTTTTTGAAGATTTTTAAATGTATGATTATATTTGTACCTTAGCATATGAAAGTTTTGTACAGTGATAATTTAACATGAAGCGCCTTTTTTCTTGAAGTTGTTAACTTTTGGTGTTTCTTTGAATTCAAGGCGAATATCCTGTTATTATTCCCAAACTTTATGTATTTTAAGTTTTTTCAAGTACTGTTTTAATTTAGCAATGCTGTCAAATGACTATTTCACTTAACTGATTTGCCACATATAAAAAATATATATTTTTTTTATATTTGTTTTTTTGGCTTTTACCATCTGACCACAAACTAAGTTGAGTGCATGAACAAAACAAAGGAACAATTGGACAGATTAGAAATCATGGATGTTCAAACTGCTGATGTATCTCAGACATCCCGAACCAATTTTAGAACATCATGATCTATAAATGCTATAGATGCTCTTTATTTAATATTTAAGTGTAGTTTTATTTAATATAGCAAAAATTACATGAATTTTATGGAATAGTATTATTTTGATATAATTTTCGGTTGTGAAAAATTAATTTTAGCAAGGTTTGCTTTCCTGAGGGTACGACAAACAACTATGTATATTTATTGTGTGTGTGTATTAAGGAAAATTATTTATTTATTTTTTAAATAAAAGTGTTGAAAAATGTGTTTCTTTAGTGACTGTTGTTTAATAATTTGTACAATTTATTTTTTTAAATTTATTTGATTCCTGATTTATCTACGCATGTTTATCCGATATAAGTATTCGCTATGAAACATCTACATTTGTTTATTAAGTAAGACACAACGAAATATGAATAATATTCAAGGAATTAATAAAATATGTTAGTTAAATAAACGTTTATTTCGATTTTTATTTAAATCTGTCTCATGTGATAATAAAAAATGAGCCTAATATTTTGATTTCTTCCAAAATGATTCTCAATACTGAACCATCAACTGATCAAATACGTGGTGGGTGTTTCTTCCTCCTCATTGTATAATATGCAAATGCTCGTTGAATATGCCCTTGTTATGTAGACGTTTTCTCAGATGCCAGTGATCGGTAATAGTCCTAGCGCTCCTCGGATTTAGATGCCAGCCTCTTTATGGCCTGTGCACCAAGACCATTATTGGTCTATTGTGCATATCCAATTTTTTTTAAATCTAGAACTCTTTTAAGCTTGGGCCTTTTTACCAGACCCCAAAGTTTTTGTAAGAGAACCAGATCAGGACCTGGCTTTTCCTTCAGGATTAGTAATCTCAGCCTACATAGGCCTTCGCACCAACAGAGAACGTGTTCCGCTGTTTCTTCTTTTTCTTGGCAATATCTTCACAGGTTTGTTTCTACCACTACAAGTATATACATATGTCTCCAGATTCTGTAGTCCAACTATTATTCTAGATTGAAAAACGGTTGCATATTGTCCAAGGCTTGTATGAATTCTAGTCTTTGGTTTATTTTTGTAAATGCCCCATATTCTCATATTTGGTTTTGGAGCCATGTGTAAACCAGATATGATCGACATTAACTAGAATCCCTTTTTCCTCATCTCTACAAGGTATTTTGATTAGAAATTTTTCTCAAAACTGAATTAAGGGGTTATTACTCCTCTGAGTCTGGCCCTCTTCTCTAATTTATTTAGAAAGATCAATAGCGTTATCTTATGTACACACTCTTTATAAAAGGCTGTCTCATCGCTTGTACCATAATTGTTTTCATTCTTAATTATTAGATCTTACTTAAATCATCATATATATTTACATACATCCTTCTGCATAAGCCAACATTAATAACAACTGTCCAGGGAAAAATGAAAATTTAAAAAGGGCATTTTATGAATTCATCATGAAATCTAATTATTTTTACAAATTTGCCATCAGGATTTGATTTATCAACAGCCAGACCTCTGATTATGAGATTTTACATATTACTCGGAGAAAGGATTATTTTTTCTCTCTAATTGGCTTCATCTTTGTAAATTATTATACAAATAATTGTTCTTGTACTTAAAAGAGTTTGTTGTATGCTGTTTTGTATTGTTTTTTAATGGTATACTACATATACATATAACTAGAAACACATCTACATATTTACAATTTAAGCGGTTTTTTCTAAATATTTTTTTCTCCATTTTTTATTTGTTTATTTAGGCTAAAATTGTAATCCTTGTGAATATATTTAATGTACTCTACCAATAGTATAATGGCCTTAGCCATTTTCTCTTGTATTTACTTTTTATAGTGTACGTATCATATTATATGTTAAATAAACTCTAACTAATACAATTACAAATACATATGAATAAATATGCTTTTTGAAGGACGAGCATTCATATAATAATTTGAAGTTAATTTGTATTTTGGGCATTTCCGGTCATTTTGGTCTGCCTTCTTTCTTTGGAGGTTCTATGCCTCGACCTGCTTATAACCCTGAAAATGGCAAGAAGCCGAAACGATCTGACAGACCAAAGCGGCGAGGAAAGGCGGACCGAAATGAAACAAAACTGTTAAACTTTACGTTAATCACTCTGCAGATGCCAAAACAATTAAACTGAATTGTTAATAAAATAAATTACACAAAATGGCTAGGGAATGAAATATTTTCATAATAAAATAATTTATTTTAATAAAAAGTTGTTCGAAAATCCCCAATTGTGAAGAACTCAGTGACGCATCCATGGTTTTGACTGTACCATAGGTTCAGTTTGTGGCTTTGTGCGTTACAATACCGGCGACAACCTCCCCAATGCCAAACATGAGTGGGCCGTTTTAGGGGTTTATTTGTGTTTTTCTCGTCGAAAATTCGTCCCAGGTCGACAGCCACAGAAGCCGAACAACATTCAGCAACGTCCGTTCATCACACAGGTCCCAAGATGAGCATGTACAGCGGCAGGATCGAAAATCTCCTCAACAACATCAGCAACGAGATCGAGGTGGAAGAAACTCTGAAGGAGCTGGAGTCCGTCTTCGCCTCGATGTCCGACTCACAACTCGCCGACCATGTCAAAGAGGTCAACTTCGGCGTCGTCTTCGACTCTCTCAACTCTTGCAACAGGTTCATCTATTTCGTAGTATTTCGTAATATTTTCGACAGTGATTTTATTCTGTTTTGTCGACAGGGATCAGATTCTATACGCTTGCAAGATTTTGAATCTGTGTTTGCCGAAAATCCCCTCTCTAGAGTTGTGCAAAAAGTACCAAGAGGCTATCATCAGAGCGATCCGCCATCCGGAAAAAGAAGTCAAGGAAATGGGACTCAAGGAGGTTAACAAATCATAATATTTATACCAGGGGAGGGCACGAAGTCCATGAAAGCCGCACCATCGTTAAATAGTATTACATTATTATACTTCTTATCGTGTGGTATGGGGTATGCGACGACACTTGGAGTGATTTGAGGTGATGATTGCTCTACTAATCTTGTCCGTACTGACTCCCTGAGTGCAGTCACAGCTATATCAGGCGTGAATCCCCTAATCCTGTTCGTGTCGGATAATATTTCTTAACTGGAACAACTTGGTAAAATGTGGTCTGGGTCCACCAAATACATACATGGAGGGTCAAGAAAAGGCAGACGAGGCTACGGCTCAACTGCCAGACCTAACTTCCGCCATTCCTCTCATGCTAAAACTGCAACTATCATCACAAGGAATCAGTGGGCCAGTATAAAAGAAGCTCTTATATACCAAGAGCATAGTTGGTACATGCTCTCAGACATTTCGAATTGTAAAAGAGGGATCATTCTAATCCTAGTTGGTTGGCAAGAAAATAGTGACTTTTTCACAATATATTTTTTTATTTTTTTATATTCGGCATATTTTCAACTATTCAGAGATGTATTGTCAGTGTTGGGCAAAAATTAGTCATGTCTAATGATTAATGATTGATCACCCAGACCATTAGTCGTGATTGGTAGTAAGTGACTTATTTAGTCATTAGTCGCCATATGTGATTGATGGCTAATTTAGTCTTGACTAGTAATTAAATACGAGGCATGACTAATTTAGTCACAATATAGTTAGTCATGAGTAAATTTCGGTAAATCTTGTTCAAATGTGTGCTCAAAAAATGAAAAATACACAACTTCATCACTTTTAAAAAAATTTCTGACAGAAATTTATTTCATCAAAACGAAAATCCTTCAACACCTTATTTAACAAAAATCAATCTTCTAATTATAAGTAAAACACCGTCGTTATAAAAAGCCAAAAAATAATGATAATAATAATAATATAATAAAATAAAATAAAATAAAAAAAAATAAAAAAAATCCAAGAACAAGCTACGCTTTGAATAGTAAATATGTTTACATAACCGATCAATGGAAAAAATATTTCTTTGAATTAAAATTTATTCCATTTAAAAGGAGAGATTTCTACATTATTTGGAAAATACACCATCTAGGGGTCTTGATTGTAATAAAATAGACATGTAGAATAATTATGTAACTTTGGTTTTCGTTTATGATAACACTTTTTGAAGGTTGGCCTTGAGCACGTTTCTCATCTCAAAATTTTTATCTGGAGTCGGTTGGATTTTGGTAAGTTGGTCGGATTTTGGTAAGTTGGTCATTGTAGGTCTTTGGCCAAAATCAAACTAATTCAATCATGATTAAGAATTTTGATTGAAGTTTAATCATGATTGAATTAGTCATGAGTGAATTAATCATTATATGATTTAGTCATACCTCATGATTGAATTAATTATGATTAAATCATATAATGATTAATTTACTCATGACTAATTCAATCATGATTAAACTTCAATCAAAATTCTTAATCATGATTGAATTAGTTTGATTTTGCCCAACTCTGTGTATTGTCTATTGATTGCAATTTTGTCCTCTTTCAGGTATCACGTCTATTCTTTTTCCAAATAAATTCACATCTTTTGAGTCCAGGAACATTAGAATAACTTTTCGGATACTTTCAAAGCTTGAAAATTTTGTAGGGGAATCAGTGGCCGCAACGGTTTTGGCGTTACACTGTTTTTTTTTAATAAATAAATATAAGCCTTTAGTTCCAGCAGGTTTATTTATATGGGAAGCTTTTCAGTTATTTTATAATCATCTTCACCCTGTAACATCATAAAACAATGTCATTTTCTTTCCCCCCCTTCTTAATTCAGTTTTATGTACAACTCACCCGTTAACTCACAGCCTTGTTATTATTATTTTTTCATATAACACTACTCATCAATTAATAATATGAATGAATGATTGAATAAAGGCTTTATTTACACAAAGTATTTACATTAACTTTACATTTCCAAAAAAAGCTCAATTGACAATGGCCTTAGCCGTCTGTCGAGTTGCTTTATGAATTTTTGAATTTGAATGAATCCCTATTTTTGTATATTTAGAACATTATATATATATAAATTTTGATTTTAAAAATTGAAGTGGTCGATCAGGTATTTTCGGTACCGCAGGGTGTGAGTGAGGTATACCACAAGCTTCCTCCAGTTATCCCTTCCGTTACGGATTGCAATGACTTCTCCATCCAGCTTCAGTTTCCCAAAGTACCTTTGGCGGAACTCTCTCAGAACGGGGCACACTCCTAAGAAGTGGAGAGTGTCCTCTGGGACGTTGAGGTTTCATAAAGAGCAAATGATGTCGCGGTTGGCAGTTCAGCTGAAGCAGTTCACCCCTCGCCCTCAAGACCAGAGACACCTCGTAGGCTGTCATATTAGAGCACTCCATGTAGTTTGGTTGGTCTTTCCTTTTGCTCTCCTCCCAATTTTTTATCAGGTCCGTGGTATTAGAGGACTTCAGTTCTTCCCTACTTACTCCTACACCGTACAGCCTACCTAACGACAGCTGCTTATGCCATAATATGCCTTTATTTATTACTACATCGGCCAAAAACTGGGTCAGTCTGTCAGGTGTGTGATTCAGTACTTTCCTTATATATTTCAAATGCAGGCTCAAAGTGTGACTGTAGGGTGGTGTGACCGAGCACTCAATATATAAGATGCTGTCTGGGGTGCTAATTGGCAGGGCAGTTTCTTGATGAAGTATTTCTGGACCTTTTCTATTTCCTTCAAGTATAAGTAACCCCAGACCTGCGCACCATAACATACAACAGACCTAAGGGTGCTGTTGAATATCACCATCTTTTTCTCTAGTGGGATCTTCTTGTTGGTCATTATTTTGCGCCACAGACTATTAACGGCGTACTTAGCGTGCTGGCCTTCTCTCTGCAGCGATGCTCCATCTTCAAGGACTTAGTGAAATTGATACAAATGTATTACGCAGTCCACTCTTTCACTTTTGAAGAACCATCTTTCATTTTTCTTAAGTCTTCTGCCTCCCTGCCGACAGACCATAATTTGGGATTTTTGCAGATTCAATTTAAAGTTCCACTTGTCGCAATAGTCTTCTAAATCCCTTATGAGTTGCAACAATGCAGGTGTAGAGGCCAACAACACTGTTGTCTGCATACATTAGTATTATTTTTCATCCGTTAATTATTACCCCTCAGCATAGTTCGTACTCCAGGTCATTAAGGAAGATTGCGAACAGGACCGGACTGAGTAAGCAATCTTGTTCAATTAATAATATGTTAACATTGACGTCCCTTCCTCTATCCGAGCTCATGGTTCTCATTATACCTCACTCCTGACGTTAGTGTCCTCCAGCGAGTAAACAATGGTGAATCCACTAGATCCAACTGGTCGTTCAGTGTTTCCACTTCTTCGTTATATCTTCAAGTTTATTTCTAGGGCTTCCAATGTGTTAAGTCTTCTACCGAACTTTTTTTATGAGGACTTTAACGTTTTCTTTTGGTGAACGCGTGGCCCGTTTGTAAGGTGTGCCTCGCTATCGCCTTCTTTGTATTTTTCCACCTGTCTTTGTAGTCCTTGTCCGGAGATTATGGCAGGTGTGATAAATTTGTCCATTAAAATTAGTTAATAATTGTTATGTCCTGAAGGCAACATGGGGTGGGTTTTGGCGTGGTGAAAGACTACAACATTTCTGTCGGAATAGGCCGTTTTTTTTTAATTTGAAGATCTAAACGGGTTAGCTGTTCACAGTCTTTGGGTGTGGTTTCCAATGGTAGTATGGGAAACATTTATCATATCTCCTTGTTCTTCGGTAGTCAAAAAGGGATTTTCTTCTAGCCTATTTCTCAATACGTTGTCATCAATCTCTGAAGGACATCCACTGCCCGCATCATCTTCAAGAGCAAAATTTCCTTCTCTAAATCTACCAAACCACCGTCGGACTTTACGAACATTTACATTAGTATCAAACACTGGACACAAATTTTCAGTTGCAACAGTTTCATTGTTCCCTTTTTGGAATTCATGAAGTAAACAATGTCTTAAATGCGTTTCATCCAAAGACATGATTACATATTAAACTATCCAACCCAACTATAAACAAGTTGAAAACAGAAACAGGAGAAATAAAGCTAAATATAGTAATAATAAATAAATTTAGGGATTGAACAAGTGTATTTGTAAACGAAAATAATATAGACAAAAAATGTCAATATTGAGCTAATTAATCCTAAAATTAAAAAATGACATTACTTTCTTGCCAAACCATTACTTAAAATAAGCCATAGCATGTCGTAGTGTCCAGTACTGTTGCTCGATGTGTATCAGTTTTTGAAGGGCGTCATTCTTTGGCTTCATTTACATGGGAATAGGCTGGGTAAGAATTATGATTGAGCATGACAGCATGATTTTGGGTCCTCTGTTCAATTTTTTAGGAAAAAATGGGTGAGCTTCTGGATTTATTTAAAATTTGAAATGCTTTATTCAAATTTTTTTAAAATTTAAAGCTAGTGCTATGAGTGGGATTCGAACCCATGACTCAATACACCGAATACATGGGTTCGAATCCAGCTCGTGACACCAGCTTTTTGATCTCAACCACGACCTAAAAAGTATAATTAATTTAAATAATTAATAAAGTCAATTATGACTGCTAATATGGATTAATGTAGAATTAATTAACGTGTTTAGTGTTGGTGTGGAATATTCCACAAACAAAAGTGGATAATATCTACTGAAGTATAAAAAAATCTACTCTACCTAATATATTATTAAATCCATTATATTTATTGGATTAATTGACAAAATTACTTCTTTCAATTATTAAATTCACTAATTTCGTGGTCCGCTTGACCAATTAATATATTACAATTAATTAAGGTTTTTAGTTGAAATAAAAAAGTCAATGGCACGAGCGGGATTCGAACCCACAATCTTCGGCTTGATACGCCGCTGCTCTACCACTTGAGCTATCGTGACCTCGATCCACTCGGACACTAACTTCCCATCTCAACCGCAACCATTGACTTTTTTATTTCACCTAAAAACCTTAATTAATTCTTTCAATTACTTAATCTTTTTATGTACAGTTTTGGTTGAAATGAAAAACTTAGTGTCACGAGCGGGATTCGAACCCACGACCTTCGGCTAAATATGCCGCTGCTATAACCACTTGAGCTATCGTGAATTCGGTTGAAAAATGGCAAAAAAGGAGGGAAAATTCGAAAGGTTGTAGGTTGAGATGGGGAGATGATGTCCGAGTGGATCGATGTCACGATAAGCTCAGCCGAAGGTCGTGGGTTCGAATCCCGCTCGTGACACTAACTTTTTCTTTCAACCAAAACCTTACATACAAAGATGAAGTAACTAATATATTATTTAATTTTAATAAATTACAAAAAAATTGTAATTAATAATAAATCAATCAAAATAATTAATAATTAAAAATATGTGGTTTCATTTATTATTTTACAAAAATTCTCCAACAGTAAAAATTTGTATAATCAAGTCTATTTAAAATTATTCTTTTTATCTTAGGTCTGGTTGAGATGAAAAAGTTGGTGTCACGATCAGGATTCACGCCCACGACCATTCAGCTGACTGACACTTTTTCATCTCAACTAAGGCCTTAGATAAAAAAAATAGTTAATTGAAATAATTAATATGGTCATCAAATATATCTATTTAAAAATTAATTATAACATTTACGTCTAACATTATTAAAGTTTTACAATTAAAAAATTAATATGTAATAATAAGTATAACATGTTAATAAGTTATCTACTATTTTTTAAATAAATATAAACCACCTATAAGAGTTAGTTTTAAAAAACCTAAATTGGTTGATAAATTTAAATTTCTGAAATAATAAAGATAATCATATTTTTTTAAAGATGGTAAGAATTGTGAACGGCAACCACCTGTTAATGGGTCTTACCCAAAAAGATGAGGAGTCAGTACTCTTTTCGATTGTGGAGTGTCTTTGTGACAAGGAGATCTCTGTAGGGCTGAAGGCCGTCGATTTGCTTGTCCTTCTCGGCCAGTCCGGCTGGGGTATGAGCCTGATTTGCAACCCCAGGGTGGTGCAGTGCATCCAGGCCAAGACGGAGGTCGATGAGGTCTACAAAGCCCGGTTGACGGAGGTAGTAGTCAAGATCGGCAAGGATTCCTCAGACAGGCTGAAACAGATGGAGGCTCTTGGCCTTCTAAAAGGATCCATCGAAACCCTCACCTCCGGCGATATCCTCGCCATAATGGCCACCCTGGAAGTCATCACCCCGCTAGCCTCCACTACCCACGGCCTAGAATTTCTCGTTAAAAACAAAATCCTCGGACTCCTGACTAAAAAATTAGTATCTCTGGAGAATGACCCTCTGGCGACTGTTTTATATCCAGGTAAGCCTGTTTTACTGCTGAAAAATTTCAACAAAATTTTTTTAAATATTTTCACAAATTCTGTATAATTTTTTTAATTAATTTTTTTTTTTAATAATTTAAAGGTTTGGCTAAATTCTTTGGTCAAATAGGGCAGAAGTGCCCTTCCGATTTTATGGAATTCTGTCCTGAAGTTTTAATATCTTTGCTGAAGAACGTCGAAGATGACGATGTGAATGTATATGTAACATCGTTGGAATCGGTCGCTCTGATAGCTTCTTCTGCAATGGGGAAAAAAGTCCTTGAAAAATTTGGTAAATGCTTCATCCATACGGTGATAGGTGACGTAGTGATGATTATTCAGAAGTCGTGAGATGCGGTCGTGTTGTAGGTTTCAGAAAAACATTTTCTTTATCATGCCAACGTTTCGATCCCTCAAGATGATCTCAATAAAGATTGAAACGTTGGCACAATAAAGAAAATGTTTTTCTCAAACCTACATCACACCAGACCGCATCTCACGATTTCCGGATAATCTTCATCAGTATATTTAATGAGTGATTTTCCTTTGCATAAAATAAAATGTACAATTTTGTTTGTAGACAAAGAGATGGAGAGGGTTGTTATGCGATGTTACCAATCGATGACACTTTTGCAAAATGAATATAGGCTGAGGGCACTAGGAGCATTCGCAAATCTCATTCATGTAGAATTCCTGGAAAATCCTGATGTAAGTATTTTCTCATGGATTCCTACGGCAGGGGACTTATTGGTCATATTTTTTAGTCTTTGGAAATAATTGCCGGAACTGACATTATCGACACTGCAAATAAGAAGTTGGCAGAAAAATGGTTCAACAAAGTGGGGAAAGCAGCATTGCAGTCCATAATCGACATGTCTAAACAACCTTTTCCAGATATAAAACACGCAGCTTATAATGTTTTAAAAGAACTGGCTTCGCAACCATGGGGCCAGCAAAAAATATTTCAACACCCTGGTACATCTTCATACGATTTAAAAAAAAAGTTTTTAAAACACTTAGAATTGCAAGCTGATTTTCATGTCTTTTAGGTCTCCTTGACTACTTGTTGGACAGAACAGATGAAGTATTGCTCGAGGGCAAAAAAGACAAGTTTGCGATCATCGAGACTATGGTGGAATCTGGAACACTCGAGAGTGTCATGTCCGATAAGGCGGTTGTGAAAAAACTCAAAGACTTTGTCAACCTCGGGCCGGAATACAGGCCGGCACAGATGCAAGTCGCCGTCGAGGGGGCAGAGTGAAAAAATCTACCACTTTTTCTTCTTGTACGCTATAGATCCAGGTTGTCAAGGTAGAAGAGTCAAGAAGAAGGGAAGGAAAAAATTGATGTTTGTGATTTTAAGACTGATTCAAAATACCAATTTCTTTTGGCAATCACTTAAATGTTTAGATTATTACCTTTTTCATTACAATGATTTCTTCAATGAAGTGTGTTTTGTAAATAGGTTCACGAACAAAAATATATGTTCAAAGTAAATTAGACATTTTGTGTCATTTAAATTAAACGTCGGTTTGTTCGTTTGTTGTTTATGTTTTCTTGTAGTGAGGGTGTTGACACTAAAATGTTCTCCAAACATGATTCATGTTTCTACCAATTTTATCGTAGATATCTAAACGGATCAATTTGCGACGAATCTAAGTATATTCGAACTTGCAAATAGAAATTGAAAAAAGTTATCACCTGTCTTAATTTTATCACTGAGCAAAGAATCAGTAACTAAATTTCAAAAAATTCTCCAGCAGGGTCTTGTTTCATAATCGTTTATAACAAACTTTAAGGGACCATAAAATTTAAAAAAAAGTTATAAGCCTTATATTCTTTACAGTGAACGGTTCGTTATTTCTGAACATTTCATCCAAAAGTGATCAGACATGTACTTTTATAGCAGTGCAGTTTTGTAATGTAAGTAATTACATAATTTATTCAGGTTTATGAGGAAGTACAAAATACATACTAACCTTCTAAAGTAATTTATTTATTACTTATTTCTCTACCAGATTTTTAAAACAATACATATATGTACATATGTATGAACAAACCTGAATGGAGTTGACTACAGCATCATTGTAGTATATAATCTTTTTTTGGCCTGTATTATTTTACTTTATGGCACTTATTAAATTGTTTGATTATTTTCTCTTTATTTTTCACAATTACCAATATTTTAGAACGAGAAACTACTTTCACAATCTTCTGATTCGATCCGAGAAATTATCGTGAATTTTTCTTAAACAGAAGAAACTAAGGTTGTGGTTATATGTTTATTTATTTTTCTTTTTTAGTGTTTTTAAAGACTTTTATAGTGTAAAAATGGGGAAGAATCTTTCCTAGAAGCATTAGGCAGCTGGGGTTACTTTTGCTGTCCGAGTATCTGCTAAACCGATAGTTCGTTATAAACGGTTCTCAATGGTTTTTTCCTTATGACATTTCACGCGACCGGAGATTTTGTACGTTATAACCAGTATTGTTATAAACAATTTCTACTGTACAAACTAATACTATTAATAACTTGTAACTTGTGTCATATTTTTTATAGTAAAAAAAGTACTAAAGTAATGTAAGTTGTAAAGTTGAAAATACAAGAAAAATTGTTTAAAAAGCAAGGGATTCTGTTTCATAAACAGTCACTAATAGTACAAATATTTGTAAAATCTTTTATTTGTATTATTAATACAAATGTCAGATTGCCTGAAACGATCAAAATAGTGCAAACTTCCACATTAAATTAATTTTTCATTTCTTTAAAATGCTACAGGATTTACTTTTCATTGGAACAAATATCGACTGTGTGGCTTGAAATATTGCAAAAATCTGTAGGTCAAGGATCAATTTTGACGTTCTAAGTGATTTTGAATTTAAAAAACTCTTCGGAATTCGAATTGCTTCTGAAGGAGATAGGACCACTAATAGAAAACGTACGAGAAAAGGAGGTGCACTTTGGGCAAAACAAACACTCTGCAGATTGTATTGCCTTGGCTGGGATGTGGCGGGCAGTTTTACTCTTTGCAACTGCGAGGATGGACCAAGATGAAACGTTCTTATTTGGCAAGGAAGAATCATAGACGATGATGGACTTAACAATTAAGATGACGAGGAACAGTAGAAAACATTGAAATTACAGCGAGACTTAGGCAACAGGGAATAATACATCTGATGGTGTAAAATGGAGATTTTATTTTAATTTTGCAGTTTAACTTTATATTTTAAATATAAATAATTTGTTTATAAAATTGTTACCTTAGATTTTATGTTTACATCTTTTTATATTATTACCTTTATCTACAAAAAAAAAAAAAAAAATAAATTCTAAGTTGCTGGTAACTCATTTCAGATCATCATACAGACTTCATACAGTAGAAATGATTTGAGGTGTGGTGAGTATGGCAATTCACTTTTTGGAAAAGAAAGTTCTACTCACAGAAATTTTAGGTAGTTATCCGGATTTCGAGTATTCAGGCAGAAGATACAAACACATCTTTCGACGTGAATTGCTGTAATTTTTTTCTCATTTCCTACAATTCACGTCTAAAGACGTGTTTGTATCTCTGCCTGATGATGATGTTTTAATACTCGAAATCAAGATAAATGCTTAAAAACTATGTGAGAGGAATTATCTTTAACAAAAAGTGACTTCATAGAGTATTTTCATTAATATCGTCTATAATTATTGTCGATTCTTAAATCTCGTTTGTGCAGCACCTGCAAGAAATGCTCAATTGAAGTTCTAATTTTCTGCACTCCAATTTTGTTTTGTTTATTTGCAGTTCTAAGAGTTCCATTTGTAGGTTCTTTTTCTTTTCCTCGCCTTCATCAATTCCTAAAAAATAATATTCTTTAGGCACATTAGACACAAACCAAAAAATGAGAAGACAGAACCTCGTCGAAACTAGAAGATAGTAGAAGAAAAGTACCAGAGATATGAAAATTTAGCAGACGTTAATGACAAAACAAAACAATAACAGCCCATGTTTAATTAAATATAATTTCAAGTTCAAGGCAATTTGTAATTGAACAGATATGGTCGGTACCTTCATTTATTGTAAGCTTCCGTTTAGCTTGGTTTATGAGGTATGGTTCCCATGTAAATGCATTTTAGTTTTTTCTGTGCATATTTATATTTGTGTGTCTACTTCCGACAGTTGGACTCGCAATGGTCTTCAGTCCAATGAACCAAAAAGTTGGTGAGTCTTCCCGACGATGTCGAGAACCGCGTTGACGGCATCACTAAGTATTTTCTCTTTCCCTCTTTGTCGGTCTTTTGGGTATCGTCAACTTTTTCTGAAACGAAAAAATAAGGTCAAGATTCGTCTTAGAAGAGCATTTGTCAGTATTCTTAATTTTCTCAAAACTCAACAACTTATATTATTCCAGCATGACATAATTAATTGTAAATTTTTAGGTTATAAACATACAAGAGATTGTAATTAACGTGACATAGTCAACTTCTTGATGTTTGGCCATCACTTTGTCAGGAGGAACCACTCCAATGGACTTATATCCCTCTTCCTAAATACTCCCAAAGGACTTATTTACTATCAAAGATGACAATCAAAGTCAGTCTTGTTCCAATTGTTGAGGGAGAAGGTCGCGAATAATAATTGGGGTAGTTTTGACCCCACGGTATTGTTAACGGCTAGCTTCTTCACTGATTTGTTTATCTGCGCGCGCCTATGCTCTGTTTTTTTACGGTCTTTCGAGTGGAAAAACAGGCGATTCCATACAGTACTCTGATCCTGAAAACATTAGGAACATTTTAGAATAGCTGAAAAAAAAAGAACATTTTCGGGGAGATGGCAGCTGTTCGGAAGACGAAGAGGAAGAAAGAGAAGTTTCAGATTGTCACTGATCTTTACCTTTTTTCTATCTTTATTTGTATCAGTGTTTGGTTCAGATGGATTAAAAATATTTCTAGACTATGCACCAATGCCAGCACTCGTGTTTGCTCTTCAGTCAAGAAATAGTGGAATATATTTTCGTAATTTACAAAAGCTGGAATTGGGGATGGACTGCTTTAAGCGATAGGCTCAATACACGCGTGTGCAGATTTGAGCTTGAATCAGTAATCAGTAATAATGGTTTAGCATGTTTGTAGTACAACTTATGCTTAGTAATAACTGAATAATTGAAAAAACGTATTGTAATGTTTTGATGGGACGAGGTTGGTATGAAAGGCAGGCTCAAGTGGGGAAAACACATCGGCAATATTCTGCATAAAGACAAGGCTCTACTAAGCATTGGCCAAAGATTTGGGGAATCAACCCCAATATGGCGTACTGGTTATACACCACAACGGTCAGACCCTTGGTCATATAAGGAGTTCTAGGACCTGGATGAACAAGGAACACAGATCTAACTACAAAGTCTACACTAGCATGACTCAATATATCTGGTGCAATGCATACCTGATCCACTGCAGCAATGGAAACCTCACGCGACGTATTTATGTACAAAAGATGGCTTTTGACAGTGTCAACAGTCTTGATCGTGAGATGCAAAGAATGAAGATCTAAGTCGGAGGCACCACAAAATTCTGGAAAGAATTACAATAAATGAGACGCTGTAACGGTAAAAACAAAATGACAGAAAAATTCAACTTTGACAGACCGTTCTAAGTGGACTAGACAGTCAGACTAGGCAATCACCTTTGGAAGAAAGGTGTCCCCAGGTTTCAGGAAGGGGCTCTAATATGGAACACAGATGGACCAAAAGGGACTAGGTGTAGGGATAACCTAATAACTTGGGAAAAATACAACTACCTTAAATTGGTTTCTTGGACATGAAGGGATAGAAGGAAATGAACAGGATGACCAGCTAGCCAAAAAGGTGCAGTTCTTTTACCCATGGGACCAGAACCACAACTAGGTGCAGCGGACTGGTTACATCAGCTGGAAATGGAAAGTGGATTGAGGAAGAGAAACTCAAACATTGGACAAACCACTCAAATCGTGGGGAACTTCACTCTTTCAGCAGGCATGATTTGAGAAAATTCTCTATACCGGGCACGCCCTCTTAAATATCATCTAAGAAGATGGGCAGAGGAGAGAAAGAAACATGTCGACTCTGTCCGGAGGAACAGAAACATCGGCACATATCCTTTGTGAGTGGGAAGAATTAGCCCGGCGGTACAGCCACTTCTGTAAGGCGATTATCACACCAAAAGAGGTACGCGAAAAAGTGCCAGGAAAGTGCTTAGAAATAAGAAAAAACGCAAACAAAATTTTAACGGTAGAATAGCAATGACAGGAAGATATCAGTTTCAGCACATGGTACTAATTGGACGATATGTGGCTTGTAATAGATAGCTTGCTGTTCAGCCATGATAGTCGGGAGGTACTGCTTTTGTTTAAGCTCAATTTGTTGTACACAGTTTTAAAAAATTAAGAACAATTGATTGAATGTGCTTATTTGCCGAGATGATTTGGTTAAAGGAAAAGGTTTTCTGTCAGCAAACGAATGCAGATCTGGTGGTTCTAATTTGCGGGTTATAGTTTCATTTTTGTATCTCCCACACTGGAATGAATAAACAATAACGGTATTTGCTAAAGATTAATAGAAAAAGTGGGGGAAACCGAAATTTAACGGAGTCTATCGAAGTTAAATATAGTTGCAGTAACCCCACCACATCGGGGGATCGGACAGAGAACAGGGAGTGGGAAAGTGTTAAAGATTTAGAATTAGTGGCTATCGGTCGGGTGAGGGGTCGTGGGCCGGAGATCATCGCTTCGGAACAATAAACAAAAGTGGTTTTGCGATGACATTTCCCCCGGTCCGTAACGAACAATGCTCGACGTATTCCGAGGTCTCAAGAACTTGATCAAAGTCAGCAACATCCGGATCGACTCGCCGGTATTCAGACTCCACTACAGCATAACTGTTATGATACTTATAGCGTTCTCGCTCATCGTCACGACCAGGCAATATGTTGGAAACCCGATCGACTGCGTCCACACCAAGGACATACCCGAGGACGTGCTCAACACTTACTGCTGGATCCACTCGACGTACACGCTCAAATCCGCTTTCAAGAAGAAAGTCGGGGTCGTCGTACCTTACCCGGGTGTGGACAACAGCAGGGGAGAGACGGAAGACCGCAAATGCTACACGTACTACCAGTGGGTCTGCTTTTGCCTCTTCTTTCAAGTAAGTCCGGACTATTTTTACATACAATCTATATTGAGTTCTCGTATCGAAATATGTGCGGGAAATGTGTAAATTTAGTTTTCTTCTCTGCAAGTTGTCTTTATTCGTATTCACAAGTTCAAAATCGACAATCTCCGCCTATTTCGGCTACCCGAGAATCTTCAGCCGAATCGACTTCATTCTATCTGACTTCCTCGGCTTTTGTCCCTTCGTTCATGGCAAATGCAATCTTCACTCTTGAAAATGGATTCTAATATCACATTTAAATTTCGGATAATCTTTTCACTATATCGAGAGATTTAACGTCCCAACTTTTCTGCGTTTTCTGACCTTATGATAAATATGAATGCGAAGAGTTTTGGTATTCACCAAGACCCATGCCGATGAACATTAATTATTTGCTAAAGCAGAATTAACCTCGGTGATACATAGCCAATTTCATTCCATGAGTTCAATTTACCATTTTAAACCTCTTTTGTTTAATTAGTTTCGTTGTTTTTGTTTTAGAAAGATTTTTACTGTATAAAATAACAATTTTTAGCTTTCAACTGCTTTGCTTTTGACCGGTGTGGAAGGTTTTGTAAAAGACTCGGCAGCTACCTTTTTATTCACAGTTTGCCTTATGCACATCATCGATCTATATAACTACTGTGCTCCTCCTTGTATGATTAAAGTTCACCGTCTTTCTCCAGGCTTTTTAATAATATAATTAATATTTTTAATAGCCTTGGCAGTGGATCGTAAATTTTCCGGATTGAGCTGTTCTTTGCCACCGAGTAGGTCTTTTCTTTTCCTTATTAGGCATTCATAGTTACAGGTACTGCTGTCTCCTTTTCTTTTTGGCAGAACCTACACGGGCTATCTTCTGCCAATTCCGATGTATATTGAATCGGCAATGTCAAGTTGACAACCTGAGATTCGTCCATCTTTGTTGCACTTATGCATTGATCTCAGCTCGGTTATCACAATGGATCGCAATTTTTGTCTTTTATACCCTGTCTTTTTTATTTCATTTGTAAAGAGCTCAGTTACTACGGTTTCTATATGAAATACTTTGGCAAATTTGCCACGGGTAATTAGCATTTAAACTCTTCCTCCTATACTGGTTACAGTTTACCTTTACTCCTGACCATTTTCTTAAAAAGGGACAATTTTTAATTATTTTCAAGAGGATTTCAATATATGGTTGATTTTATTTATCTACACCTGACATGAAAGTCACTCAAGGTCATTCCATTCCTACACCTCTTACACCTCTTGTAGTTCTTTTTGAAAGGGCAAGAAAATATCGAAAAGCCCTATTCCGCAACAGTTGCCCCCAACCTAAAGCGAACTTTGTCAGGACCAGAAACTTCCAGCCATATACCAACAAATATAGGGCTACAAATAAATTAAATAATAAAAAAAAAATCTTTGCATCCTTTTGTCATTTACTCAGTGTTAAAAAGCTTTTCCGGAATTGTATGCTTGTGAGATACTTACCGGTACGTGCAATAGAGCTGTATGTTTAATTTAAGGCTACATTAGATAAAATCACGAACTTAAGTAATGTAAGAAAGTATGTGTGAGTGGACTGCATCACTCTTTTACGAGGGTTCGCAAAAGCAGAGGTCGTGTCAACGCACGGGGATAGCAGTTTTTGGAAAAATCCCATTAAAAGTATATCAGGTTTGAATGCAGGGACGCTGGATTCGAACCCGGAACCTTTACCTTATGGCCCCGCTACACTATGGACCATGACAAGCCTATGCATTGGTCACCAAGTTGGGTACCATGCTCCACACACCGGGCCAATACAGGTCAACCCTTCTCCCAATCTTGGGCCAGCTTGGCCTATAGTTGCTTACTTTTCCTGTAGCGTGATGGATATCAAGTACGTGTAAATCGCTGGTACATCTGTGTTTGGCTGGGATGTATAATTGCTATTTACATTTCGATTGAGAAAAACCTAATTGGAAACAACAAACAATGGACGATCATGTGCCAAATGTTCGCGCATGTTTGCCTTCTTCGATGAGTTTATTGAGAGTGCTCCAAAAGCGTTACCCGACACCATTTCCAACCTTCACAAATATGTGCCACTACAGACATCCCATCTATACAGTGGCCCAATGTTTGGACATGACACTTATGTTCGCGCATGTTGGCCTCCTTCGATGTGTTTAGTGAGACCGTTCCCAAAGCCAATGTTCCCCGACACCATTTCCAACCTTCACCAATAAGTGCCACTACAGACACCTCTACACAGTTGCCCAATGTTTGGTCATGACACTTTTGTACTCGCATGTTAGCCTCCTTCGTGTGTTTAGTGAGACCGTTCCCAAAGCGTTACCAGACACCATTTCCAACCTTCACCAATATGTGCTACTACAGACACCCCCTCTATACAGTGGCCCAATGTTTGGGTCATAGGAAGAGGGGGACATAACAATGATTGCCTTAACCGTTGCGGCTACCAACGCCCCCGAAAAATTATCTTATTAGTTTTGGCAAACATGTGTTCAATGTTTTCCTACATCTCCGAGCTCGACGAGAGCCTAGCATCGTTAGAATAAAAAGCGAGGGATGTAACACGTTTTGACATCAGAATTGGCCTCCGGTTGCCAAATGTCAGCTCTGACAACTTTGCAAATTTGACAAACATATTCCGCCCTCGGCCCCACTTACAACGCTTAAACTGATGGTCGACCGGTTTATGTAAGAGCTAATTAATAATGTCAATGTCCGGCACCGCCCCGAGGTTAATAATAAACGCGGCCGGTCAGCGCACGCTGCAATCTCTTTTTCTTATTCTTCCCGAGGGTCTAAATCGTGCCGCTGACAACTAGATTTGACTCGAATCAACCGTCATTTGTATACATTGTCTTGGCCCGACGCCTGCTTATCCGAGCGTGTCACTCGGAATTTTTCGCCACCAATTATTATGATTTACACCGGTTTTTAAATAAGCATTTTCTTGAAAAACAACCAAAAGACGATTAACAACGTTTGACACAGTTTTCCTCCCATTAGCAGTCGTTCCACGAATTATAAACGTGTAATTAATAAAGACAGGACTCAAATCCTAACCAAGCATCCTAACCTCTAACATCAAAGAACTCCTTGGGTTTATCAAATATTGGCGAAACTTTGATGAAACAGTTCACTGTACACCAACATCAAGCAGCTACAGGCTGCCTCTCCTTAGGTCTATACCTAGATGGCAGGCCCCGTATAAAACTTAAGAGCCAATAGATTAACAGGATACTTTGACGACCACGAAAAATTCTGGACCGAAATACATTTTGACAGGAAAATCTCAACTAACTGTATACCCGACATTACTTCGACCATTTCGGACGTAATTATCGGAATAGAGGGACCATCAGATACACCATCCAATCAATTAAATCAGACAGGTTGTCGCTAACTTCGCTATTCTAAACGATTTATTATATAAATTATTACAAAAACCAACCAACATTCGCAATGATATGTGTTTACGATGATTGTACAATATGGTCCTCGGCCTCAAAATCTCAAATTAAAACACCAGTTTTTCTCGGCATTTTAGGAACCTAAAACTATATCAAAGAGATCTGGACATCCCAGAAGCGGTTAAAATTATAGAACGACTCCATAAAACAGTTCAAAATCCGGTGGATCACCCTCATTGTTATGGTCTGTTTGTCGGACGTGTTTCACCATTTTCAGACAGTGTATTTCTGTAGTTTTCATTTAGTTATGACTTGTCATGCTATATAATGTTTTGAATATAATATATTATGTTTGTCAGGTGTTGATTATTGTATTTATAAGTTTTTTCGTTGAATTTTTGAAAGTAAACATAGGTTTTCAGTTATGTTTACTTTTCGTGTATATGTCATTTTTGTGCAGTGGATCTTTTTGATGTCATATCTCACATATTTTCGAGTTGGTTTACTGACTTAAAGTAGGTGTTTTTTTTAGGTCAAAAATTAGGTTTTGAATGCCGTAAATTATGTTTATGAGGTGTTGATCTTTTGCATTCATAAGTTTTTTCGTTGAATATTTTAAAGCATACTTATAAGTTTTCAGTTATTTTTATTTTTCGTACATATGTTAGTTTTGTCCAGTGGATCTTCTTGATATTATATCTCAGAAGTTTTTCAGTTGGTTTACTGACTTTAAAGTAGGTTTTTTTAGGTCAAAAATTAACTTTTGAATGTTGTAAATTATGTTTATTTATGAGGTGTTGATTTTTGCATTCATAAGTTTTTTCGTTGAATATTTTAAAGCATACTTATAGGTTTTCGGTTGTTTATTTTTCGTATATATGTCATTTTTGTCCAGTGGATCTTTTTGATGTTATATCTCAGATGTTTTTCAGTTGGTTTACTGGTTTACTGACTTTAAAGTAGGTGTTTTTTTTAGGTCAAAAATTAATTTTTTGTATATTGTAAATTATGTTTATGAGGTGGTCCAGTGGATCTTTTTGGTGTTATATCTCAAACGTTTTTCAGTTGGTTTACTGACTTTAAATTAGGTTTTTTTAGGTCAAAAATTAACTTTTGAATGTCGTAAATTATGTTTATGAGGTGTTGATTTTTGCATTTATAATTTTTTTCTGTTGAATTTTTTAAAGTATACTTGTAACAAAGAAAACAAACACTTTGAGTGAGTACAAATACTTTGATTGAATCTAAAACTTCTAGCTTTGTATAAATTCATTTTTTTCACATCCTACGTGTTAAAATTTAAACAATGTTTACAAATCCCAGGCTCTGAAGATGATCTCAATAAAGATCGAAACGTTGGCACGATAAAGAAAATGTTTTTCTAAAACCTACGTCACACCAGACCGCATCTCACGATCTCCAAATAATCATTTTTCTTATTCGTTACGAATACGGTTACAGTTACAAGTTACGGCAGTTACTTAATCGTACTAGTTACTGCCTATCTTATCAGTTTTCTTAATCCCAAATCAAATTTTAATTTTCCACGGACCCCCTGAATGATACCGGGGACCACTTTGGGAA